TGTTTTATAATAAAATTGAAACTTAAAAGTTATTATACCTAAAAAGGAAACTCATTTATACTTAGCATCCATTTTTGGATGATACTGTGCATGTTTTATCCAATATTTTGTGAGCAGAGTATGAATCCTTGCCGTACAACAACTACCCTTCTTTGACTTACCTGCATAGTGCCACGTAATAAGTCATATAATATTGGCTATGAATTTTTGGGTTTTTTTTAAATCACTTTATCATATAAATTTTGATGTCATTCTAACGTGAGGCTGGTGTAGGCAACCACTGATTTTCTTTCGGGCTTTCACATGTCAGTGAGAGACAGAATTGTCCTACACAACCAGAGTGAAGAATGATGCCTGTGTTATTACGTTAAAAAGTGTTTGAAATCTCAGATAGTGTTTCAGAGTCGTGGAGATAATGATTTTCAAAATCATCCAACAAATAAATTAACTCTTGACTATAAGGAAGGGGCAAGAATTTTGAGAATCATCACTTAGCTAGGGTTTGATACATGTTGTGCTTAATTGGAAAGCTTTATCATCATGTCTAATGGAGTATTTAATGAAAATAATTATTCAAGTACAAGTATGAGGGGAAGAAAAAGAACTATGCATCACAACGTGCTCTTTTCAACTTCCTTTTACTTAATAACACCTTTAGACAAACAGTTTGCATGCGTGTAGAGCTTTCAACAAATCAAAAATCTCAATTGTGATTCGCTCAATTATTAAGTGATTAGGTGCTTGGTGTATGTATAGTATATTACTTCATATTTTCCTTCAATTATTTAATTTAATTACACTTCATGCTTACATCATTCTTGTTACCACAAGAAGATTAAGATTTGATGTAAGCATGATGTTAACAGGTGCTTCTCTCAGATCCACAAAGTTTTCTACTACCAAAATAAATACATGAGATTTCCAGAGAAAATTTTGCAAAGCTTTGTAGATATTTCATGAGATTTGGATTAAAAACTTTCAATATTGATGTGTGACTTGCGTAGAGAACGTTGCATTCAGAAATAGATCAACCAAACAGACGCAAACATACATTAAAATTAGTTTTGAGGAACAAGTACAATAATTTAGCATAGAGCAGACGCAATTGAAGAAATATGACAGCATGTTAATTTTAGTGCGAAAATTGGTGCAAGACAAAGGTTATGAGAAAAGTCTAATGAGAAGGGAAATTATATTTAGGTCATATTTTCAGGGCTGCTGAAAAGTAATTGAGAAAAAAAAAAAAAAAATTCTCAGCCATGGCTTTCATGGTTAGTGAAAAGTACTTATGTGCATGTATTTGTCATTTCTTTGTTTTAGCAATGACTTAGCAAAAATAATTAGGCACGGACAGCTGGCAATAGCTAAATTCCACTCAAATCTAAAAACTAATAATATATAAGTTTATTCCATTTTAATTGTGGTTTTAAATTAATGCCAAATATGGGTTTTTCTTTTTTTATTTTCTTAATTTCTTCATCTTTATAATTAAAATAAATCTTATTTTATCTTTATATTTTTTTTTTGGGATTGAAGGTTTCAAAAATATATTATAGATTGATTATTTTGAATTGATTATTCTAAAAATACAATTTGGATTGATGATTTTAGAACTTGTTTTTGGAATATTAATTTTATTTCTAGAGCAATCTGGAATTTAATTTATTGTTTTAAAACTTGTTTTTGGAACACCCAATTCAAAAATATATTCTACAATAACTAATATGGAATGTATTTCTGGATTGAATCTGAATTGGATATTCTAAAAATACATTTTAAATTAATTGCTCTAAAATTCACTTTTAAGTTCGAAAATGAGTTTTGCATTGAGCAATTCCTATATACATTTTTAATTCAATTTTCATAGATATTAGGATAAATATTCTGTAATAGGTATAAATTATTAACAAATTTTAATTTTATGAGTAAAAATAAATTTCAATTGAAGTGGAACAACATCAAAACAAAATATGGAGGAGTTATGGAGATATGAAGGTGTTGAGGAGTACGAAAGTGAGGAAGCATTTTAGGATTTCAATAAAAAATTAATAAAATAATATTTTGGTTATTGTACATGGATTATGGGGGGTGCAGGGCAAAATTACGAATGTGAAAGAAGAAGAGCAGAAATATGTATATGTGTGTATTTGGTTAAATATTTAAAGTCAAAGTTTGTAATCCATGGGCTTTCTTAGAGATTAGTTAGACTCATCTAATGGGCCATTTTTTGGTGCGGGTGGGTATGTTTTATTTTTTATCCTTACTTTTGCAAAACCACAAATGAAAAGAAACACGTTTTGTGAGGGCAATTAGACAAAGAAAAATTACAAAAACTGTAAAATAAACATAAATTTATATTTTCTATGCATACAAATAATCTAAATCAAATTAAATTACTTTTTTGACTCTGGTTATTGTTATAACTTTATTTTTCTTCAGAAAGAAGCTTTGTTTTCTATTTATTACTTTTCAGATTGTCACTTAAAAAATACAATATGCATGTACAGTGAAAAATCAATTAAAAATCATTAGTAATTTATTTTAAGGTATTTTATAAAAACTAACAAACTTATTAGAAATAAATTAAATTTAAGTTCTTATAAGTTCTATATAAAAATGGTTAACCACAGTAAAAGTGTACTACAAGTTTATCTTTTATTTACAATATTAAGAGTTTTAATATATATAACTATTACTCTAATATTAAGAGCTGAAGCATTCAATGAAGATTTTTTTATCATAAATATAAAAGTAAATTATAATAAACTCAATGACAATCTAAGAACAAATCACTTTATACCATGATGTAACTAAATTTTTAGCATGCCAAATATTTTTTGCAGTTATTTACTTAGGATGTACTGCAATTCAGTTCTCTTGGAAATTGTCTTAATAGTTAATTTACAAAAGAAATGTTGAGTTATGCTTCCAAAATAATTAAAATGTGTTCATTTTTTGTTTTGTTGCAATTGAGATTTTAACATCGCGAAATAAAAAAAAATCTACCTAAAATAATATTAACTAGTATGGTTTAGTTTTTAAAATAAAATATTATAAAAACCTTATAAAAGGAAGAATAGTCTTCAAAATCAAACTAAATTTTAAGAGCTTAAGCTAATTAAGGTATATATTAGCATCATACAACGTTTTTCTTAAAACGGCTACTTTTAATGAAATATAAAATAATAATAATAATAATAGACTATTATTTTTCATTTGTGCTATAACAACGTCATAGTATCCCACGAAAAATTCAGGAAACCTAAAGAATTAGGCCCAATATGTTTCGGGCTTCAAATAACTCAAAGAAAAAGCCCAAAATAATCCAAGGCTTTTGGTATTCTCGCCCGCCTTTTTGTTAAGTTCATATCCAACCTTGATGAAAAAAAAAAAAAAAAAAACACTCTTCACGATCAAATTCTATCATAATGATAGTGCGGGAAAATTTACCTCTAAAATTATAGCAAAAGTAAATCCATTAAAAAAAATTGAAAAATGATAATTTGTTATATAATTGGTTGTAATTAGATGAGAATAAGTTTTTAAAATAAAAAAGAGATGTATTGTATATATGTTACCTCATCTATATATTAGTTTTGTTTTCAGTTTTTAAAAATAATTTTACAAATCAATTTAAAAAAAAATTAAAAAAACTTATTTAATAACTGTTTTAAAGAAAAGACGATGATATTTATTATAATAAAAAATGATAGTAGAAATTATGATTTTAATAATTTAACGACAGTAAAACAAATAATATAATAATAGAAACAGAAATACCATAATAATGGAAACGAAATACTAAAAACAAAAACCACTTATTTATCATTTTTTATTTTATAATTTTTGAAAAGTAAAAAAAAAACTTATTAAAGGACTTTTAGTTTTTAAATTTTAAAAGATTACAAATTATTTTTAAAAACAATTAATAAATAATCTCCCTATCATATTTGTTTCTAATGATTTGAGTAAAAAAATCATATTTTAAATAATTATATATTTTTTTCATTTGATTCAAATAATTGATTTTTTAATTATTTTTATATTATTTCATTTAAATAAAACATAAAAATGGTCATTAAAACAAAGATTATAAAAAAAAATTTTAACTTTAACAATTTTCGTTCATTGATAAAAAAATATTATTAACGATTTCAATTATTTAGTAACTGGAAGTTTCAATATACATACGTGTATATATATATATATATATATATATATATATATATATATATATATATATATATATATATAAATTAATTAATTCTCAACCCCTCCTTTACTAAATATAAACTTTAATTAGCAATATATTTAACTCTTGTATGGTAAGTATGGATTGGGAAAAATCTATGGTAGGATAAAAGTGTGTGAATATATTTACAATAATTGTTTTCATCAATATTTATCGTATAAACTATATTTTGATAATAATATGATAATATTATAAATTTTAAAGCTTTTTTTATTATTCAATTATTAAAATGAGTTGTAAAAAATTTATTTGATTACAGAACAATATTTGATTGGAAAATGTGAAGATATAATTTTCTTAAAATAAAAACGTAACTCTTGTGACATTTTGAGTTGTTAAAATTCTTTCATATTTGTGTTTAATTCTTATTAATAAAAAATATTAAATTTTAATTGATAAATAAAATAAGATGAAAAAAATGATATTAAAAGTAGGAGTGAAAAAGGAGACTGGGGAGTGTAGAGTAGAAGACGAGAGGTTGAAAAACAGCGGTTGTGAGAAAACAGGGTACTATTATTATACGAGAGAAAACAAGGTACTGGGAAGAAACAAAAGAAAAGAGAGGGAGGATACAATACACATAGATTATGTGTGTCGTATTCCTATTTTAGATTCCATTTCAATCCTTCACATTCCGTAGTCGAATCTATCCTTTCTTCCTTGGTCCGCGAAGTTTCTTGTTTCCTCCAACTGCCTCCTCTTTCTCTCTCTTCCAATTTCCCTTTCCGCTTTCTGCAATTAACACACAATGGGTCTTTGGGATTCCTTCCTCAATTGGCTCCGCAGGTAAAACCTCTTTTCTACAATACTATTTATTCATATTCCTTACAATTTCATATCATATTGATTGAGGATTTTTTATTCTCGTAGCCTTATTAAAAGTTGAGCTTCGGTTAATTGAGTCATGGGTTCCTTTTAAGATATGCCTTTACATATGATTATGAGTTTCTGTGTATTGTATCAGCTTGTTTTTCAAACAGGAGATGGAACTTTCCCTCGTTGGCCTTCAGAATGCTGGGAAGACTTCGCTTGTCAATTCAATTGCTGTGAGTTGCTTGCTTGCTGCATTGCAATTTACTAGATTTACAAACCCTGAAATTCAATTTTTTTTACATGTTTTGCTCTCATGGTCTCGTTTTGATATTACATTGATGTTTGGTTTTGTTTGCCTGCAGACTGGGGGCTACAGCGAGGACATGATTCCAACTGTGTGTATCTTTGTTATATTTATGGCATCTTTAATTATTATATGTTTGAAGATTGTGTGCATGTTTGCCCTTGTAATTGAAATATAATACTTGCTTTTAAACCCAGGTTGGGTTCAACATGAGAAAAGTGACCAAGGGAAATGTGACGATAAAGCTTTGGGACCTTGGTGGACAGAGGAGGTTCCGAACCATGTGGGAGCGATACTGTCGCGGTGTCTCTGCCATTGTGTATTGTCTCTCTTAAGGCTCTCTCTTTCAGATATATATTCATGCGTGGAAGCATATGTTCGATGTTGTTACACGTGCATGTGTTTCATTGCTTTTTAAGTTTTCGCTCTGGTTCAGAAATTGCCTATAATGTTTTCTAAACTCTCTAGTTTTTAGATTTTAAACAGGAAATTGTCTGCATTATACAATTTATTTGTTGGGGTGTTTTCCTAAATGGATTGCCATTTCATCCCATTTTACTTAAGATGCCTCATACTGTCAGAGGGATTTTTCTGGTTCCTTGGAGAAGTTCATAAAGAATAAACTATTTAAATGATGCCTTTGTCCTTTCCCTAATGGTGCATTTGTTTCAAGGAATAGTAAGTTAAAGTAATCTTGGGAATACGATGTTTTCATGTCTGTTATAAATTTTTAAAATAATTCCTGAGCATTATTAATTCCCTGACCAGTGAGACATTCCCAACTCTTGCATCACTTTTATTCCCATGATGAGGGATAGATATGCTGCTTTCCCATTCCTAAGCTATCTTGCCATCCAACCACTACGGCTCTACCTCTCCCAGTTCTACCACATTCTTCTTTTCAACCTTTGAATTTTTCCAAAACATTCCCAGAAATGTTAAATGTTGGCCAAACAATCATAAGCACATTCTTTCTCGAATGTTATATACCTTGAAACACAAAGACCTCCTTTAAGATCTTATACGAGAAAAGGAAAATTTTAGTGGTTACTCATTAAGCAAAAAAACTTTGGGATTTAAGTGTGGACAATTTTTTTTTCATCGCTACATATGCTGAATGGTAATTTGATAAGAGGTGGTAGTATTAAGAACTGAACTCCTGGCTTCCTCACGGGATAGACTCTAATATGATGTTTCAATTATCCTTGAAGTATTATTCATTAGGAACCCAAAAGCATTTGTCTAATGTTGTCTTCTTTCCTGTTTATTTTTCAAATGCGGAATGGAAAACTTAATACATGGTTTTATCAAAATATGTTCTTTCCGATGATATAATGGAAGATTGGTCATGTCGTGCATGCATCTTCTTGTCTAGTGTTATTATTATGTAAAGCTCTTTCAAGTAATTGGAAGCGTCTATTCTGGATGCTTTTACTCTTCTGTTCCTTTCATTAATGGATGCAAAGACAGGTATGTTGTAGATGCTGCTGATAGAGACAGTGTTCCAATATCTCGAAGTGAGTTACATGAGCTATTGACGAAACCTTCTTTGGGCGGGATTCCTTTGCTTGTTCTTGGAAACAAAATTGACAAGTCAGAAGCTCTTTCTAAGCAAGCATTGGTCGATCAGCTGTGAGTTCTAGAAATCAGCGTTGTCATTCATATATATATATTTTGTTGAAATTTGTCTTGATTCACTATGTAACTAATTGAACATTGATTTTTTTTCCATGGGTGATTTCAGAGGACTTGAGTCAATTAAAGACAGAGAGGTCTGCTGCTATATGATCTCGTGCAAGGACTCTGTAAACATAGATGTGGTTATTGACTGGCTAATCAAACACTCAAGAACTGCAAAATGATATTGGTTTAACCAGTATTATTATTTTTTTTGGTCGAAGATGCAACGTGTTGAGAAAATTCCTTCGTAGTAGAATACATTTTCATTAATTAGTTTTGGTTCAACTTTGTTTATACAGTAATCAAACCAGGTCGAATCTTCCATGCAACATTTTATGTGCCGTAAACCAATTAGTTGGTATTGTACATTTTTAATTGTTTCTATTTTAAATAAAATTCAAGTCTAGCAACTTTATTTGTCTGGAAAATTGAATGGTATTCTGTTCCTTATATGGGGAGAAAGCTATTTCTTGATGAATGCTTCCGAAGTAAAATTTATTCACCATTTGAAAGTGTCCCAGCTCCAAGACTAATTTGTCTTAGAATTTGAAAGTAGAAAATGCATTGGATATATCTCGACTATAAATTGATGTGTACAAAAAAGACAAGCATTATTTAGATTAGTGTGCTTTTTTGGTAATTCGTTTTTGCATTATTTAGCTTTTAGGACTAGCCAGTTGGTCATGTTCAAATTTTGTTCACCCTATGTGTATTCACCTGCCTCCTGCTCTGGCAACAGAGTTTTGCACACGAAGAACAAGACCAAATTAGTACTTAAATGTGAATATTTATGTGTTTATGTTTTCTGGTTTTATACACATTTTTTTTCTTTCTTATAAGTCCTCTCAAACTCTACCAGTAAAAAAATAGTCCTTTAACAGCAGTTCCTTGCTAAAATCTTCTCGTAACTCCTTTTTATTCATAACATTATGAGTAAATTATAATGATCAACAATTGATTACCAACTAATAGCATGTTTGGCTCAAGAGGTTGAACCTACGTAAAAAGAGCAATCAGTAAAATTTACATATGGTTTCATAAGGGTTTTTGTCTGTTCTTCAACTAGAATTAGAGTTTCATCTTAATACTATATAATTCTCTAATGTAAAACCTTTATTTAGATGTTAGTTGTGTTCTAAGCGGAGTTGATAATTTAAAATTAGGAAATAATTCGAAATTCATCTTTAAGCTATTATTACTATCACACATGATCACGTAGTTATGCTCTAGAGATGATGGCATCCACCTTTAGTGAAGATGAAACTGTTAAAACCAGTTACTTAGTTTCTCTTGATTTTGTATTTTATACGTTCTATAATAATAAATATCGACTTTTACAGTAACATCTAGAAAGATAACTGACAAAATTATTTATATTATAAATATAAATTTAGTAATTTAAATTTATCATTGTCTTCTGTGCAAGAAGAGTGAAATGGATGGCATAGGAGGTTGTGGTGGAGGAGGCTTCGGTTGTAATGGCAGATTTTTATTTATTTATTTTATTCATCTAATATGATCTAAGATTTGTGAGAGATGAGTTCTCATTAACTTTCTGCAGAATATATTGTTGAATTCTATAGGAAGAAATAATGCTAAAAATAAGCAACCTAATCTAAGTGATAACAGTTTCTGTAAATATTTACAAGGAATGTAGGATAGACAAATAAAATTTTTGCATATTGTTTATCTCTGCGGCCTTTCCTACATCTAGATTATGTTAAACTAAAAGAGCTTGTGCTTTTTGCTTGCATGAGTTGGCATACTGGTATGAACTGCGGGAGTTTTTTTCGTTTTTATTTTGCTGCATATGTTTTGTTTTGCCGTCAATTGTAATTGGTTTATCTAGTTTACTTTGTTGATGGAACTAGATTACATTAACTAACTGAGCATAATTTAGAAAAAGTGAGTGGAACAAGCAAACAGAACATGACATGGTGGTGGAAGAAACCTCCAAGGCCATGTGCAGCGTATCATAGTAGGAGGAGACGAAGCCGACGAGCACGGCTCCTCATCGTCCTTCGATTTGGAGATCTAGAAGAGAAGCAGAAGTAAACGGGGAAGGAGCTTCCTCTTCAACCAGCTCATCTGCCAATTGCAGTGCCGGTGCCGGTGCCGGTGCCGGATTACGTGCACACATCCTAAGCATCACATAAACGATGGCCACGAAGGCGACGAGACAGGATGACACCAACGCCACTATTTCCACCGTAGCTACCCAGCGGGGGCGCCCATGCTTGTAATCCAGCTGCCCTAAAAAGTTCAGAGGCGCAGACGCGTGTGATGGTAATGGCGGTGGCGGCGGGGGTTTCATGGCGAAGATTTGAGATTTTCAAGCTGAGTTCAGATTTTGTTCTTTTTATAAGGTATCTTCCACGGTGAAATGCAGTTGCCAGTGGTGCAAATGCAAATAGAGGCACCATTTCCTTTCTTTTACTCATATGACTCCTTCAACCTTCTTCATACACTCACCTATGTGCAAATTGCTAATGAGGAAAGATATTTTCACAGCCCTTCTTCTTGTAGAAACCTGAAACTTAGCAGTTCTACCAAAAATAGATTTAACCTATATGTAGGCTACATTACCATCTGCTTGTTAGCTTGTATCATGATCCCCTCAAACACACGGCCTCTGATGAAAAATAATATATTTTATTAATTAAACTAATATATGTAGTAAAATAAGAACATCTTTACTATTATTAGATCTCATTTAAGATATTCGCGTGCCACCATTTCTTAAAATCTAGTCCAATTCTCACTACAATTTACTATGTCACTGTACTATTAATGGCATAATTTTTCTCGTTTTAATTAAAGTAGAAACGAGAAAAATTAAATAACAATAGATAAAAAATAAAAATTTTATTATAGAAAAAAAAATTACATATCTTTTTTTTAGTTCTAAAGAAAAATAATGACTACTCCTTTTTAGAAATACAAATTAACACTAACAAAAAGAAAATAAAAAACTTTTTGAGAAAATTTTTAAAGAAATATTGAGTTCCTTTTATAACATAAAAGACAAGTCTCTAAACATGTTTTATTTTAGATGAGACTTTTTTAGGTTTGTTCTTTTTCACCTTCCGGGTTAAAAAAATTGATTTTACCAAATACGTTAAAAATTTTAAATTTTTCTAAAACGAGTTAAATCGTGCAAAGGTGAGACAATTTTAAATATGAAATCGTGTCTAGAAATACGATTTTAATTGAAATCATGCATGGAAGCACACTTTTAATTAAAATCGTACTTCTAAGCACAATTTTATCTTCTTTTTTTGTTTGAAAAAAGTGCTTTGTAGCACAACTTTTCCTTTTTTTTTTTGTTGAAAACATTGCCCTAAGACTATTAGGCTCATCAAATTATTTATGGTCATTCAACTAATTATACAATAACAAGAGAAGAAGAAAGTCATCTTCAACTAGTTAAACCCACGACCAGCAATAGTAATAGAAGCAATCAGATGATTACAATGTACATGGAATAAAACTTTTACTATTTCTTTTAGTATTAATGAAAAGCATTGTGTACATGTTCCTAATTCCCACTCTCAATTCTTAGTAATGAAACTTCCAACCTTACTTAAAATCTCGACTCTACCACTTATCCCATTGATATCTCAAATTCAACTCCACCATCATTTGTATGCCAGACAGGGTTTCCAATCAACAGTGATAATTTGACACCATAAAGAAGAAATAACCATGTCAATGCTAGCATCTAATAGAGCATTCTGAAAATAATAAGAAACAATTTAGTAAAACTTTTATTAGTCCATCTGTTCATTGCCTTTAAATTTGTCAATCTTAAAATTGTTGACAACTATGTGAAGTTACTTTAACTAGAATAGAGTGGAGTCTTTGTATCGTTACATCTATCTTCATATACATGCGCTTGAGTAAAAGATTCTACTCCAACATCACAAATCATGTTTTCTAGTCGATCATCCATGGTTGAATAAACTAAATCATTATCAGATTCATTTACACATGACAAATCTAATAGTTCACCATTGCATGTCCAAATTGTGTAATTTTTAAGAAAATTGTCACATAAAAGATACTCCCTAATTTGCTCAAAATTTAGTAATCTTCCATTAAGACAATTAACACATGGACACATAAATCTTTCACTAGTAGAACTAGTCAAAGTGTTTCTTTATGCAAATAATAAAAAACCTTCCATTTCTTTCTCATACTTATTAGTTATGCGAACACAATTAATTAATTTATATTAAATTCTAAATTCTGTAATGCATACGCAACTACGTACGTAATTCAATTAACAATACAATTTGTCAAGGATTTGACATTCTTGAACTCAACACATATTCACTTAAAAAAATTTCATATCACTCACTATCAATCATTACAATGTTAACCCTAAATCAATCCATACATTAATCAAGACAGATCAATTACTTACTAGAGAGGAAGAATGAGCTCTCACGGACCACCACCAAACAATGTTCACAAACCACCACGAGAGGAGCACGGTAAGAGGGAGAGAGCCACCGAGAGAGATATACAGGGCTCAAGGAGATGCAGGATGCGACGTGGGGAAATGACTTGCAACAAGGGAGAGAGCAAGAAGGAGATGTAAAGAAGTGAGGAAGTGATGAGAGGGAGATGTAAGGAGGAGGTATGAGAGAGGAAAGAGGAGACAATGAAAGTAAAGGGAAGGATGAGCAGAAATAGGTTTAAAACACATACAACGACGGTTATTAGTAATAATCATCGTCAAAGAGGTGTTGTAACCACATTCAACGACTGATTTTTAATAATTGTCGTTGTATGTTTTATACGATGATAATTATTAAATAATCATCATTATATAGTTCTTCTTATTTAAGAAATGTCACTATGATGATTTCGACGATAACCCCAAAATAATCGTCATTAAAAAGCATCATCATTTTTCATATTTGTACTAGTACCATAGTTACGCTTTTTGTTACTCAAAATAGTTATTATTATCGACATTATTTAAAAATTATCGCATTTTTAATGATTTTTATATTGTTCAATGCAATTATAATGTATTATTAATATCACCGATGATAGTTAAACCAATGTTATAACATTTATTTTTAGAATAAAAATAGAAACAACGTTGATTAAAAATATAATAATATAATAAAGACAATTGAGAGCTTTAAGTATCAATATTAATCTTTATATTTACGATGTTCAAGAATTCATCCATATGATGCATTGTAAATTCATCTCCTAAATTGCTCTAATAGTTTAAGTTGAGTGTTAAGTATTTATTTTACTGGACAACATTCTTAAAAAAATTTATCAGTTGTTCTAACTTTTATATCGTCCTTTCATTTTTATTTAGAAATAATTGTATTAAGATATTAACCTATTTAAACATTGGATGAAACAATTTCATTAAATTATGTTATTTTACTTTAAAACTAAATTAAAATATTACATTTATTTTATTTCCATTGAAAGATATTAATCCTTATTGAGGAAACTATCTCACTATATACAGAATGAAAAATTATTCATTTATTCCGATAGTAATTTAATTATTATTTTATTCTCAATTGGTAATTTAATAATTACAATAAATTATCATCTTATAATATTATATTTAAAAAAATGTCAAGATTTTAAATCTCCTTATAAGTAATTGAGAAAAAAAGCGAATGTATTAAAATTTGTAATTAATATAATTATTTAGAATGTAACTTAATTGTAATACCTCTATAATAACAACCAAGGTATGTAACTATCAATATAACAATTAATGAATGTAATTATCAATATATCAGTTAATTATAATTCCTCTATATTAAGAATTAATATACGTAACAGTGATCTATTATTAAAAAAATATTATAAATAATTTTAATAGAAAAATTTTATAGAAATATTATTAAAAAATTATTATAAGCTATGAGAATTAATATTTTATTAATTTATACAGGAAAAAATTAAATGATACATTTTTAAAAACAGATGATAACAATTCTTACATGTAACGATGAATATAATAACTAAATATAATTCCTCCTAGGGATGGCAAAACGGGCTAGGCCCGGCAGGCCGACCCGCCAGCCCGCCATAATATGGCGGGGCGGGTTGGTGTTTTCAGCCCACCAACCCGCTTTGGCCCGCCCGTCAAGCCCGCCAACCTCGCGGGATGGGCGGGCTAGCCCGCGGCCCGCCTAATTAATAAAAAAATATTTTTTTATTGTAATAAAATTAATTATAAAGATAATATATAAAGTTAAAAATTTTAAAAAGAGAATTAAAAAAGTTTTATTCTCACAAAAAATATTCTTTTTCCTGAAACATAACATTCTCTCATGTTCTCCTTGTTTATCCTAAGCACTGATTATTTTTATCCTTATTACTTAAATTAATGGTGTAAGAATTAATCAACCAAGAATAATATGAAGTTTTATCAAATAAAAAAGATATAGGTATTTTAATTTTTCAATATAAAAAATATAAATTTTATAAGTTTAACGTTATTTATATTTATATATATATATATATATATATATATATATTTGTTATTATTTATTATTATGTAAATTTTATTATTGTTCTAAATTATAATTTCTTAAAATAATGTATTGATTTATATTATTAAATTGAAATAATATATATATATATATATATTGAATTATTGACAAACAAATAATAATTTTATTATTAAATTTATTAAAAAAATTATTTAAAAAAAATATTTTTTCTAAATTATGGTGGGCCAGCCCGCTGATCCATCGATCTGCCCCTTGGCGGGGCGGGCCAAGATCTACAGACCGTCATGACTATATCGGGCAGCCAGCCACGCCCGCTTTGGCGGGCCAAAGACGGGCGGGCCAAAGCGGGCGGCTGGCCTGTTTTGCCATCCCTAATTCCTCCATATCCAGAAACTAATATATTTCATTTATCAGTCAACATTGAATAAATATATGAAATAACGAATATAATAAATAATAGTAATTTCTCGTTGACTAAAAATTAAGGCAAATCATTTATCAATAAACAATTTAATTAAAACTTACTGCAAATTGTTATAATTTAGTATGTAAAAGGGGAAAAAAATATCTTCCATGAATTTAATACATTGACCAGTCAACCATTTATTTCTTGCATGTTTTAATATTTTAATTTTCTTGTAGTGATACTATAAAAACAGAGGCAATCTCACAATTCATCTTGTTTTATTTGACAGAAGAAATGATGAAAATATTGTTTTTAGTCTTGTGCTTGGTAAATAGACTGCATAAAGTTCATGGTATTGAAAAAGATGATTTGGAGTTGGAAACACAATTACGAGTCATCAACAAACCTCCTGTCAAGAGTATTCAAGTACATATTCCTCTTCTATCTCATTTTTATTCTTCTTCTTTTTTTAATCTTATGTCACTACTTGTTTGGGTAAATCTTTTATGTTTTACTTTTACAGACAAAATTTGGATATATTGTTGATTGTATTGATATTTACAAACAACCAGCGTTTGACCATCCATTGTTAAAGGACCACAGATTACGGGTACAATTTTTTTTTTTTTTAACATTCTCAAAATATAGTTAATTTAGTCTCTCTCTTTTTCTGATTTTATTTGCTTTATTCGATTTTGTAGAGAAAACCTAGCTTTCAAAATTCAATTGAAAAAAATAGTGTGAAGAATTCATCGGCTACACCCATTATTGGACTTGAGAAAGACCAATATTGTTCAACGGGAACTGTTCCTATTCGGAGAACAACAAAAGATGATCTCATTCGAAGCAGGTCATTATTTCATAATCAGACCAAGCTTCAAGGTTTCCCTGGTGCTCATGTAAGTTTTTTCTTACATAATTGTAAGTTTATTTCTATAAAATGCATTATCCTTATTTTTTGTTTTAGTTTGAATAATTATTGAAGTCTATTAAATTTTGTAGAATGCAGAGGTGTATCTTCGATCATTTGATGGTCCTTATTACAAAGTTAGTGGGCAAAATAGCATTTATAATCCTAGAGTTCTGAGGAACGATCAAACAGCAATCTCTCATATATGGGTTCTGAACGGACCAACATATGGCACTAACAAAATCGCTTTCGGATGGCATGTAAGTTTTGATCGATCGACACAGTGATTGCTTTAGTAAAAGATATATATGTGTCTACATCTACTCACAACACGAGAGTTTTAATTGATATTTATCATTTTATTTGTGTCAATTCATAAGGTTAATCCAAAATTATACGGCGATACTAAAACTTACATGTTCTCATCATGGACGGTAAGCAGAGATTTATATTTATACGTTTTTATTTTCTATCTTTATTTAGTTATTTTTCTATAAAAGATCATTAATAAGCTATAAATGAGATATTACTATTATGACGCAGTCGGATAATTACAGGAAGACAGGATGTTACAATATGCACTGTGCAGGATTTGTCCAGACTCATAGAGGAAACTACCTTGGTGCACGCCTGGACCAGACATCTGTCTATGGGGGAATTATTGTTGAGTTTGCACTTTCTATTACACAGGTAATGTTGAAGCCCAGATATACATACAACTTTTAGTATGTAATGTTAGGAATGACATTATAATTGACAAAACTTATATGCATTTTCAGGACAGTGCAACTAAAGACTGGTGGCTGAATGTGGGAGGACAGAATGTTGGATATTTTCCGGCAAAATTGTTCTCCAACTTGAAATCAGCGAATCAAGTGGGGTGGGGTGGGAGAACATTGACTCCTCCTGGCACCCCCAGTCCTCAAATGGGATCTGGATATTTACCAGATGGTAACTTTCTTCATGCATGTTATTTTCGGCATATCTCTTTTCAAAATGCAACTAGAAAAGATTTTCCACCTCAACAATTTCAAGCAGACACCATCGTTGACAAACCTGATTGTTTTGATGCTAAATACTACGGAGATCTAGGAGGTCAAGTTGGATATTCTCTCCAATTTGGGGGACCCGGTGGCCGCTGCGGCAATTGATCACCGGAAGATACACCCCTCTTCTAAAACTACAAACCCAATAAAACAGTCTTCTGTATCCATCCATAAACGTTATGAAATCCTCAAGATTCACTTGGTCTTCTAAAATTTGTTTTGTTGTTGTTTTTATCTTATTGGTTTCTTTTTAACCCCACTCCTCTAATCTTTTCACTAATATATTCAAAACAAATATTTATAAATAAAAAATTTAGTCACTAACCGTTTAACAACTAAAATGTTAGTTATTAATTGATATAAAACAAAAATATTATAACAACAAAAACACTAAGCTTCTGTTTGTTTAACATGATCTTTTCACGCGGACGGAATAACTAGTGATTAGATAATTTGTTTAATTCCATTTTATTATGCATGGACTCAAGTTTTTGTAATCAATTCAACTCGACTTCTCTACGTCCCCTATTTTCGTTTGAAAATCAAATCCACGAAGAATGGATTCTCTATACTTCAGAATCGATTCTCTCGTTGTACCTCGTCTTTGATAATTGATTTTTCACCATGTGAGAATCAATTTTGGTTTTTATTTCCTCATCTTCTCTTCTTCCACCCCGACAAAATGGTTGACACGGAGACTTTGCACACTCTTCTTCTTGCTAGTCACTAAGTAACTATTTATTCCATAAATCATATATACGTTATACCTTCATTTGTGTGATTATTATTTAATGTAGGAGACGGACATGTTTATTCTTGGGGAAGAGGAATACCGGGGAGGCTTGGAAGAGTGATACTGGATGTGTTAAAATATAATAATAATAATTATTATTATTATTATTATATCAATAATTATTGTTATTATATTAATGATAATACTAATAATTATTCTAATAATAATATTTATAACCTAAGAATAATTATTATAATAATAAAAATAATAATCATAAATAAATTGTAATAATTATAATTATCATAATAATGAAAATGAAAATGAAAATAATTCAAATAATTATACTATTTTAAATTGTAATAATAATAATAATTTTCACCCTAGAGTAATTTTGTAATCTTTAATTTTTTTATTAAAATATTTTTTTATCATTCACATCAATTAAATCAGCCACAAACTTTCTTTTTAATTTCTCTATACTTCCTATCATCTTTCTCTTAATTCAAACATCCTCATTTTCACCTCTTTTACTCCTCAAATTCATTCTTTAATCCAAACAAAACATAAGATTGAATTTGGATTTAAAAATTAAATTTGAGGGGAAAGAGTGAGATTGTTTATAAGGAAAAAATTGATGAGATATAAAAGAAAATAAGAGAAAAATTTGTGAGTGATATAATTCGTTTGTTAAAATTAAAAAAATAATTTAATTAATAAAATTATAAGATTACAGTTTTATTCTTATATTTAAAAAATATTTTAAAATAAAATATAATTAGTGTAAATTATATTAGAATGAAATATGATTGCTAACCAAAATCAACACCTCCAATAGCATAATCCTCTATAACATGACACAAAGCAAAGTCACAAATAAAACCACGATATCGGAACACCAACACAAAAACATATGCACCTTGTGGGTAAAAAAACATTAAAGAATCAGATTATGGAAAAGAGGAGAATTTATGGAAAGAGGGGAAAAAAAAGATAATAGATTATCTGATGTTCCAAAATCGATTTATCTAATCTTTCACTACTACAGAATGATCATTCAACGTCGGTTATACAAGGCATTCAACGTCGGTTCCAATGACGTCGTTAATTCAGGCGTCGTTGAATGTCAAAGGATTCTACGTCGGTTCAGAATACCCGACGTTGAAAGTGATATATATCTACGTCGGGTAACCAAATGTCCGTCGTAGAAATTAGTAAATTCTACGTCGGTTATTAAACTAACCGACGTTGAAAGTCCTTTCTCGCTCAAGCGACCGGTGTACTCGCTTGAGCGACGAAGCCTTCAAACAAAGGGGACTCTCGGGTTCTGTATCGCTCAAGCGACCTCTGTATCGCTCAAGCGACCGACGTTACAACGTCGGTTAATGCAATAACCGACGTAGAATATCCCTTTTTTTTAAAAAAAATGTTGGTCTGTTTTAGTGCCACCAACACACGACCTGCTATAATCTCAGTCCAGACAGTATATTTATTTCAGATAATCACTAATATATAAAATGATAGATATATATGTCAAAATCAGCCAAATTATGTACAAAATACACAAAAAATTATCAATCAATCCTATTCCTAACTACTTGTACAAACTTTTCTCGCCCATTTGTTTCTAACCATGTCTATAGTATCCATAGGCAAATGTTCTATATCTTTAAATGCCCGTAAGAAGTTGACAATAATAGAATTAAACCCTAAGCAATAAAAATAAAGGAATTGAATATAATAGCAAATGTCAACTTACCTCATTCCAACTATCCCGAATGCTACCAAAAATGATGAGCCACATCCAATACATTACATAGTAGCCGCACTCGTATCCTCCATTTTGTTTGTTACACTAAAAATGACTAAATATGTTAAAAATAACTATTAAATTTGAACATAAATTAATAGATAGTATAATATATATAAAGGCTACTTACTTTGATAAAATTCCAATTTGGAGTTGTGCTTTTACTTGTGTGTTTTCCACCTAATGTACTACAAACCTTGAGAGCACTATATATTGAAAAGAAGGGGGTTAGAAATAGAATAATCAAGATGTTTAGACATAATATAAGAAATACTTACTCGTTTACAATATTTTTTAGCTCCATGTCAGGTTTCCTTCCCAATGAGCGAGAACCAACACACAAGATTCTGCTTTGGACAAATAACTAATAGCTACCGAGTGGTTTACGTATATACACATGATTAGAATCTATTAAAAAAACTTGTGTAAAACCGGAAGAGGTCGGGATAACTTACGAATGATGGTATGCTCCAAGGTAAATATCTCTTTTAGAATCGGTGATCCAATTCCGCATGTAACCGAGAATTTGATCACGCTTATTCCCGCACTTTTGTATGGATTGAGGCTCGAAGAATCCATACACATGACCAATGCCCCTGCTCCACTATCATTTCGTGCATCATCCTAAAATATGCCAATTTAAGTGAACTTATAGCTTATATGTTTACTAAAATGAAAAGAGTCATGAAAGATATGAACTTACAATGTCCAAAATTGCAAAACAGACTATATTTAGACATTGATTGCCCATCCCAATCTCCAGGGCATCGAGTGTGGGAAATGTATAGGGGGATATTGCTAGAAGTCATCCCAAATAATGTACAATCCCATGGAACTTGGAATGACTCCAGATACAATTGTGGGGAAAGAGACAAGAGATCAAAAATTGGATTTGGAGAAGTCTCCACAACCGGTGTCTTCTCCTTAGATGCGAAGGAGTGGCAATAGCTTTACCCAAGTCTTTTGGTCGCCGAACATCCTACATATTTTATAAAATATAATCATAAACAATAAATCAATTTATTTATGTGTTAGATGTATTATAACCATACATATATACATACCTTTGCCATTATTGACCTAACTAAATGTCGGGGCCAAGTAATGAAGGTCCGAAGGGCTTGGCCCACTGTCTCGCACCTCTTCGATGGGGATAGGGACACTAGCCGCAGCGTCAACCACCTTTTCAACCACTACTTTGACCAAGTTAGGATCCAAAGGCACATTGTGGATGGTTGAAGCCCCTTCATGAACTGATTCATGGGCCACTAGCCTTAGACCTTCATCTACCTCAACCCACAAGCCATATCAATCATCCTTTGTGGATTCAGGATGAATAGATGCCACCTCAGGTGTGACCTCAATAGTGGCTTCAGCACAACTGCCCTTTGTGCTAACTCTTGGACCTACAAATACAGTAAATTCCAATAAGGACTAAGATTTTAGAAACATAAGTCAAGTACCAATTTGTGGTTGAAAATGCACCTGATGGAGGATGAGCATCAGCAAATGAAGTACCCATGGAGGTCATACGCAGGAACTGCTCCTGCACACGTGCAGTGATGGTCTCCTCAAGTCGTGCGCCGATGGCGGGAGTCAACTCTTCCTCCAATTTTGCCCCGATGGTCGGTGTCAATTTCTCCGTGAGAGTCATCTCCAAGGCAGCAATATCTTCTTGGCTTAGGGATGTGGAGGTGCGGATATCCCGTGATGGTGGTCCAAAATATCGTCGGACACCCACACCTTGGCCAACAGCTCGAACACGACCTGGATGTTCGGTCGTCTAATAGCAAGTGGTCAAGATATCCCGACGACCGAAGGGATGAAAGTTCCCTGTGTACACTTGCTCCTCCAAGGCATCCTACATTATAAAAGTTAATTTTATTAATGAACAAGTTACATATAACTAATTCAAAGTAAATTAACTTCTTTTACTTACAATCCGAGCAGCAATTTCTCGGGCTTCTCGCGATGTCATGTCACCGGAAGGCTTTGTACGAGCCCTCTTCCACTTCCGGTGACGTTTTGGAGGAGATGGTGGAGGAATCTGTTCTTCGCTTAAACCGGAAGAGGCTAACTCCGACCGTCGAAGTCTCATCTTCTCCTCCATCATCTTCTTTGTCAATAGGTCGTACCCACCACGAGACAGAAGGTGGGGGGCGACATTCTTGCTCCGAATGTCTTTTGCTTTTTGTCTTCTTTCCTGCAACATAATTGAACACAATATTAGATACACAACTCATTATAAAATGTTCAAGTCAATTAAGCAATTAACATTACCTCCCACTCGAACCAGATCCTACTATGTACAAACTTCTTCCAAGTCTCCTCATCTATGCCATATCTTTGGCAAGGGGTTAATCCCTTCCTCACTTTGTCCTCAGCATACACCCATTTAGTGGTCAATGTGGACTTGAACTGTCTCCACATTTTTGCTATGGTCGTCATTATCTTCCTCCTCACATCCTCGAATTGACTATATCAAAGCGTTCCTACGAGTAGCAAACAAGTTTTAGTTAACCAATTGATAATAATGTATAAACAACTAAATACACATACTTACAA